AGAACTAAAGACAAAGAGCACAAACTGAAACACTGGAGGTCCCCTACAGAACAGAAAACACTTTTTCAGTTAGGGAGTTATCAAGCCCTGGCACAGATTGTCCAGAGAGACTGTGGAGTCTCTCTCCTTGGACATATTCAAAAGCTGTTTGGACACAGTCCTAGGAAGACTGCTTTATGCTGACCCACTTGAGTGTGAGGGGTGTTGGATCAGACGACTTCCAGAGGTCCATTCTCACCTCAACCCTTCTGTGTGATTTTGTGATTAGGAGGTTGCAATTTTTTTACTAGTGGTAGACATGTCGCCGAGCATTCAGACACAAAGCTGTTTTGGAAGCCTGTTGCCTCTTTGGGGAAAGTGTACAACATTTATAAATTTATGAGTTGAAAGAAGCACTGAGAAGACATCTTCTCAGGTCATAAAGTTTAGTAGATATATTTTATGTGCTCTTGTTGTCTAATACAAATCCTGGAAAACCAGCTACATGTGGCTTTGTCATCTTTTGCACACAGAATCATAGTTAGAGACAGATATAAAGTTGTTTTCCTCCAACTACTACACAGCGATGTAAACTGCCCCTGCATTGTCACACTGCTGTATCCATACCAGATACATTCCTGTACCAGAGTGAGTGCAACCAATACTGAATGAAGACTAAATTATTTATCTAAAAATTCTTTAACGGTTTTGGCCTCAATGGTCTCTATGGTACCAGAGAAAGAGTTTCAGAATAAAAGCTCTGTTACTTTTGCTAGCATCTTCACTTCACCATTTAAGCAAAAGACAGAACTTTCTCTCGAGGTCAAACACAAATGAAATTAATTCCCACAATAAATAAAGAACATCTTAGTCCTTGCAGGTTTGTGCCTCAAGTTCAAGGTGTTTTCAGCTTTGAATTCTGTCTGCACATCAAGAGGGTATGTGTCCAAGAGTGAAAGAACATTCAGAAACAGCTCAGAAACTAAATCCTTATCCTGAAAGTCTAGCTACATGTCCCATTCTTCATCTGGGAAGAAGGTGGAAGAACAGTAGACACAAGAGAGATATACAGCCCTTATTACAGGGCTAGAGGGGCTCACACATTCCCCCATTAGGATCACAGAAGAGCTTAATAAAACAGAACACTCCTATATGGAAACCCAACACCATCTCTATAAGTGTTATAAATGTCACTGTAACAACTCATTGTGACATGAAAACATACCTTTCTCTACCATGCCAAAAAGGTAGGGGATATGTTTCTCTGGCAGAGATTTAAAAAATCATATGTTCTTCTACACCCTTGTGGGTAAATAGACCAACTATCTACTTCCTGCCAAGATCCTGCCTCAGTCCATATTGAGGGAGCTGGGAGCATTCCTGGCACTGGCATGCTGTAACCCACGCCATTACACATGAGAGGTTGGCCTGCTGTAGCCAACCCTCACAGTTCCCAGTCACAGTTTTAATCAAATGAACAATCCCAGGGATTATTCCTGTTGGATGGCTTGAAAGCACCAGCATGATTTGGAGGCTGAGACCATCAGCAGAAACACGAGTTGTTTTGGCCCTGTTGGCCTCAGTATCCAGTTCCTTCAGCATGCTTAATTATGTGTACAGAGGAAGTCTATCCATCTTGCAGGAGTATCATGCAGACTCACGGTGACCACACTATCCAGTTCCCAATTTGGCTCTTTCTTATACTTGTGATATTACAACTTCATTACATTCTGCAGAAAATAATACATTTTTCTGACTATGTTTTGTGCTTGGTAGTGTATGTGATAAGCTATTCCCCACTGATAACTTTACCTTAGGCAGATATGCTCAATGCTTTTTACTTCACCATGCAAAAATTCAATATTCCTAATCTCCCTATATCACATCTTTGCCTGGATTTACAGTGTAGTGAAAACCAGTCTCTCATAATTTAAAGAAATGTTTAATATCTTCAACTCCTGATCACCTAAATAGCCACCCAGAATCAGGATGAGATATAAAGTCACTGTTCCACCAATAAAAGATTTTTTTTAGAAACAACTATAAAGCAGATACAAAAAGAGCTTTACTGTGTTAGAATTAAATAAATGAATGCCAAGCCCATTCCCTAAAGCAGGCTCTAATGTAGTCACAACTGCGGCATTCTGTACATATAAAAATCTTTATATCAGTTTAAAAAAAAAAAAATCACCTTTCAAAAATGCTACTAGTCAGTTATATATCTCAACAGGTATCCAATATTTACCCCTGGAGGGATTTCTTCTTACAGAGGCTCTAATTTCCTACCAAATGGAAGTGTTCACATTCCCAGTCATTTGGACAAGGGTTAGCATGATAAAATAAAGTTTTTTGTTACACTGTAAAATGGTTTGTTATGTGACTACTGCCACATAAAAATGTTATGAAAATTAAGTAGGTTGTAAGATCCAAAAAGGAATAGGCTGCTTTTGGGACTAGCTACTAGGAAAAGGAAAAAAAGAATGATCTTCTGATATACAGTCCTTCAGTACTTTGAAAAGACAACTTAAATGACCTTTTAACTAACAATTGATATTGGTACCCCAATTAGGAAAGCTGTTATGTATCCAAAATGGATGTGAACTTCCTCAGGTCAACAGTACTCAGAAAATGGGAGGAAACTGCAATAAATTTTTTAATCTACGTGGTGACTTCTGTCCTGTGTGACAGTAAATGAAACAAGCCTAAATTACAATTCAGAATGGAAACTGAAGTACAGACTCATGGTATGTTAATCATAACATGTCACAGATGGGATAGCAAGACAGTGAAACTGGAGGAAAACCTTCCTTTGTGTACAGTATTTTAATTTTAATACTGTGTATATCAGTCAAAGCAGTATCTGAAACTGCAACTCTTTAATGCATAGTCATGCCTTATAAGTTCCTGGCACATTTGCAATGAATTGTATCCAGAATGGCAATCAGTCACTCCTTCAGAAAGGGAAGACCAGTTACTTCTTATGATTTATAATTATTACATAATTTCTATACTTTTAAAATTTTAATATTTCTCTTAGTTTGTATACATTAATCAGGTTTATTCTATTGTTATAATATCAATATTTGTGTTCCTGTCATTTAACCAGAGCTCTACTGCACCATTAATTGCAGAAGAAAACAGTTCCTGATTTCAACAACCAGCTGTATTTCCACCGAACATTCAATTTGTTACTAATCACAAAAATGCTAGAAAAAAATTTTAAGATAATACATCTTTTCTTATAGAAGTGGAGTATTTAAAATATTTCTGTTCGCCTTTTAAACTAATGACACTTCAGTTTCCCTTCTGCAGACTCACTGATGCAGAGTGAAAAACACTGCGTTGTGAGAAATGTGCTGCAAATGAAGAACTCATGGGAGAAGCAACCTGCTTTCAGTAGCAGGCCTCCACAAAAGTAAGGAAGAAGCATTCAGTTAAGCTTCACAGATAGAGTGTGCAGAGTTCATCTGGAAGGCACACTTTCACAGAAACTTCATGATTTATGTTGGCATACGCAGGGTTGGGTTGCAAAAGAAGTAGTTTTGTCTTCACTGGAAAAGATTGTGACTCAAAGTCTTTTGCTGCCTGAATGAAAGGCAGGCAGGAGAAGGCTTGTGTAGGTGCTTGTGAGGTCACTGATGCCTGGGAAGCTGATAGACCAGGAGCAGACACATTCTTGTATAGGCAGATGTGATGTCAGTGATGTGTAAACTAAGTGCACTAATTCAGACCTGGATTTTCAAGTGGAATTTCATTAATCAGAGATGTACAAGTTTATCCAAGTTCGATTAAAAGTAGTGGCAAAGAAAAAGCACTTGACATCTTATAAAAGGCATGTAGTACTGCAGAGAAATTATCTTGAACTTTCAGACAGCTGGACAGGATGACAGACATAAGCACATATACTGATTTTTTTTCTTTTGAAAGAGAATGTCCTTATCTTGAAAAAATGTAAAAATTAAAATTTGAAAATAATTTTAAACTAATGAGTGAGATTTATTCTGAAGATCCCTTTTACTTTGCAAGTGGTAGCATTTACCAGTCAGTTAGTAAAAGCTTGAAGTACTGAACAGACCAGGAATATCTATCCTTTCTGATTGCTCAGACATAGTTCACCTGACTAGCAGGTCTTCTCCCACTGTCTGACAAGTACTAGTAGCCATGGTTAGCATGAGCACATATATTCTCAATTCACAAACATTTATGTTCTCAAAATAGGTCTGGGCATCTGGGGTGATCGATCCTATATGAAATCACTTGGGGTTAGCCAATTGCAATGTGCTACACACAGCTATGTAGAGAAAGAGCTACCACCTAGGAGATCACATACAGCTCATGACAAACAACTTGTTAATCACAAGCAGAAGCAGCCAACAGACTGAGGAAAGACTGTGGCTTTTGCTCCCAAAGCAATATATGCCCCAGCAGTTCCCCGCACTGCAGGCTTTTTATAACAACTTCTTGCTGCATTTTTTTGTTTGGTGTTGCAACAATTGTGGACCATGGAAGCAGTGTATTCTGATAACACAGAGTTCCAGGAAGGAACAAATAACATATGAATGCGTACTTTAATTCCTAATACTTCTCTGACCCTTGTCAAGCATTATGTCCATATCTCACTTTGGGAAGAAACTTAGCCATGTATCATGTAAAATATATTTACATTCAGGGCTGAATAAATGCCATCATTGACTGTGAACTTTAAAAAGATTTAGGCAAATTAATTTTGGTCAAGCCTACTCTCCTTTGCTGTACACACCTTAATGAATGACAGCCAAGAACTTGAGTTAATTTTCACCCGTCCCAGCAGAGGCCAGAATGGAGACTATGCCTCTATTGAGCTTGACAAGATATAGGAAAGGAAAAGAGCAGTGCGCATTTTAATAACATGTATATAATTCTCTAATTCAAAATACAATCAAAAGTCTGTGCAGCTATACATCAACTACTACATCCCCCTTCCAGCAGGCTGCATGTGAAAGGACTGAGGAATCCCAGCACAAAAAGAAACATGAACTTACAGAGAGGAGTATTTGGATAGCACTGTGAATGACCTCTAGGTACTGGAAATCAATGATGCAGCCTGTCACGGAGACGTAGGAGTAATCCTCTAGGACACCAGGGGCAGAAGGACGAACCACCCTTCGTATACAGCCGGGTCCATGTTCCCGCCACCAAGAGCGGTGCATTGAGATGTTAAAGGTCATGAGATCCGTTTCCTAGGAGAGAGAGGAAAAAAGTGTCAAAACCTCTGACTTTCTTTACTTTCTTTAAGGAAAAGCAAGGGGAAATAAAAGATCTTTTCAACTATATTTAAGGACAATAATATAACTAATTTGCCTTAACCCTCATACCAGTAATTTTAACATGAAAGTAGGATGTTGGAGTGGAGAGAGGAAATTGCAAACATACATTGATTATATTGCAGTTGCACAGAGAAGTTTGTGCCTGGTAGAAGAACTGTCATGCCAGATACTGTACAAAACAGTGCATAACCTATGTCCCCATGGACTTACAGCCTGAAAAACAAATTTTGTTGTTACTTGATTAGAATGCCACTTAAAGACTAATATTTTTTAACAGGCAACAGAGACAGTTTTACCTCGTGGTTCTAGAAACAATCTAAATCAAACTTCAATCATTTTTATTTAAAATGTTATCTCTAAATCATATCTATTACTTTAAGTAGGACCACAGGCAGCCAGGCTGTTCCAGTTGCCAAAGATTCAAATGAAAAGATGCCTCCAGTCAAGCACCCTCCTCTCTTTTCTCCCCTCTGCCTATCACCCAGATTACCACCTCCTCAGTTCAGTGAAGAAATCTGCTTCTGTGAACAGATCTGGATTTAAAATAAAAGCAATAACCTTTTTTCATTCAAATCATCTTTCTGATCAGCTATTAAATCCACTCTAATGAGTACTGTTAGTACTGTAACCCACACAGCATGTACAGTGTCTGTGCATTTTAATAAACTTCATCCCACTTCCACTTGGAGCAATGAAAATGGCAAACATTCTAGTGTACTAAGATTTTCTAACAGCTTGTCTATGAAATACAAACAGGAAAATTCACTTGCATTAACAACAGATTTAGGTCTTTAGGTCATGCTTAGGCAAAATACACTGAAGTTGAATGGATGCCATTTAAATGCAAAAAAAATCCCAAAACAAACCACTACTCCTCACCAGAGATAAATGAGAGTTGAGTTACATTGATAATTAAATAATTAATTCAGATTTATGTTTCCATGTTTCCTATTGTCAACTCCAAGGTAGCTGTAAAAAATATGTGTAAAATTGTCATCCAGATGCCCACAAAATACCATTGGCTTACATACATGCCCTCTTGTCAGCACTGTCATGACACTGATTTGCCCTTTGCATCCCACTCCAAAAATCTGTCCTATCAGTCTATCTTACTTTCACCCTGACTAAAGGGCTATTTGGTGCAGATTCCAGTTGCAGAAGTAGCCCTTTTGTTCCCCTCTGTTAATTGCCTCTATTCTGGCCTCACCTGAAAATTACCTCCAGCCAGTGTATGTTGCTGCTAGTTAGCAGTAAGAAATCTGCCTTTGTAATCTTCTGTTTTACTGTCCATAAGTTTTTTACCCTTTAAATGCAGACTTGCTGGAACATTATTTCCGGTTGACAAGGCATTTGTCTTTTGGCTTTGCATGTCCATCCTTGATATAGTTTAGAAAATTTTCAGCTGCAGCCTGAAACAACTTGTGAAATCAGCAGCTAACAGACAGCTCAGTTTAATGAAAATATAATTATAAATATGGAGTCACAGGAAACAACCGAGGCTGTCTTTGTGAAACAATACCAGAGACTGCACACTGTTATCAAGTGTTTTTAACAATTATAAGGTCTAAGAAATGCCAGTTGTCACACACATATTCACTCTCATGTACTTCAGTAGCTCTTTGTTGAGTAGGAATACAGATTAACAGGTTAGTGTATATCAAGTATTGCAAGGTAATGCTTTGTTATCACAACTGTGGGAATAAATTGTGATGTCCATGGCACTGGTGTCTCAGCTTTCTTTGCTTTTGAGAGTTTTTAAATATTTTTCCTCCTTTTTTGTCTTTGAATTTTTAATATTATACTCTATTTCAGTGCTTGTCCTTGGCTACTTCACAGTCAACGGCACCGAAAAATGGCAAATTTCCATAAGGAAACAGCTTGATAAATGTTGCTGACACATTTAAAATGTAAGAATTTGTCATGTGATTAGTAGAAACAGCTCATTAATAAAATCTTTCATTTCTGGAATACTGTTATATTTGGCTCTTGGAATTATTAAAAAAAAATTACTTGATGGGCATGTTTAGAGATACTTAACTAGATGGTCCTGTTCATATTTCAAGGCTGCTGGATTCAGGTAGAAAGGAAAGAGCAAAAAACCCCAAAGAGATGTCATCACAGCACTTTCTGCTTTTAAAAAAATAAATTATTTTTCAGAAGCTATGGGTAAAGGCTGTAACAAGAGATTTTCATAGTTACTTTTCACTGTGTGTATTACATTCTGAGCTCTGAAAGCAGGTAAAAGGAGATAATGATGGCCCAGCAAAGATCAGTTTTAGAAATGCAAACAAAACTACTTGGTGCATTAGTTTGACCTCTAAAATATCAATTCACAAAATGGCACCCATAAACTGTTCTAGCTGATAAATGTTAAGCTGCCAATCAATAAAAGAAAGCCTGACCAAAAAAAAATTCATTTTTTTTTTTGACAGCTGAAACATACCCCTTTCTAACTACTTGGAGATTCTTAATCCATAAAGTGAGTCAAATGCACCAGGCATTAAAGAAATTAACCTGTATCTTTATAGTCATTTACAAACAAATAGAAAATCTGAGACTGTTTGACAGGGTGCACAGGTTTTAAAATCAGTGAACTTCTGAGAGTGTTTCAGTATTTGTGAATTCACAGCTTGGAAACTCTGAGAATGGCAGAAAAGCTGCTGCCCAAGTGGCTCATTTTCAGTCCACGTTTAATGAAAGTTAAGAATTCTTTCAGAAAATACAAGCAGGTGCTTGAATCTTATCAACAGAAAATCTGTTATCTTCCAATGTCACAAGCAAACATTAAGCAAAGGTGCATAAAATATTTAATCTTCAGCAGGTGATGTAATGTAAACTGCTTATTTCTTAAAAAAAATGCTGCTGCTTCATAGCAAGAGACTCAGTTTCAAACTCTGTAGTTTAAAAGAAACAAAGTAGCCTTTCTGACTAATCTAGTTGGGATTCATTTAACAGTTGAAATTTCAACCATCCATGGATGGAAAATTGTTGTCTCCTGAGCATATATCTTGGCTTTAATTCCATGCATCAGCAGGTAAATTATACCTCCTCAGCTGGTAACTTCTCCGACAGACGTCATAAACAAAGAGGGGGCAGAACACAGATAACAGAACTTCCAGGAAAATCATGTGGGATTTAGGGAAGTGATACAGGGAAAGGGAAGCCTTGTTTCCTATTCCTTCCTTCAGCCAGCACTAAAGTAATACTCCAATCTGTGCTAAGTTCACTCCTGAGTGTAGATCCCCCCTGTAACCACACTGCTACTAATGTAGAGTCCCACTTAACTGTCTATTTAAGCTTTTAAACTATGTATAGGATTTGTGTTGGCTGTCAGCCCAAGGATTAATTTTGATCATTATTGGAAATCATTGCTGTGGCAGGTACTTTCTCTTAGGTGAGATGTAATCCCTGTAAGTCCCAGTAATACTGTTTCTAAGTGCTTGGAGATAATGTTTAATTTCGTTACATCTGCTTATTTTCTACATTTGGTTTCAAGTGGACATTTCCTATTGGGCAGGGCTTTGAGCAACCTGATCTGGTAAAAGATGTCCCCACCCATGGTGCGGAGGCTGTCTAGGTGATCTTTGAAGGTCCCTTCTGACCTAAGTAATTCTGTGATTTTTTGCTTCAATTCTTAGGTGGTGAATTTGGATAAATTTTAAGATATCATAGCATAACACAGTTCATTTTAAAACTAAAGAGCAATAGCAAGGGTGATGTTCCATTTATTTGTGTATACTTTATGCACAATGTCTATAACAGCAAAATAAAAAATTAATGACAAATTAAGACTAACTCAAATTAACAGTTGTAAAGAAAAAAGACATTAAAACTCCAGGGAAAAAAACCAATGCACTAAGATTGCCTCGTATACCAAACAAATATTATGCTGTGACATGATTACCATTGCAGAATTTTTTTTTTCACTGTATGTTTCTGCTTTATGTCATGCTATTTTATATTTCTTTTATTCCTCGTTAGTATCTGAAAAATACACTCTTGGGAAAACTGTAACAAAAACATTAAGTGTTTTGAGTGGGACGGAGGAAAAGCACTTTTTTCCTTTACAAGAAAGCAAGTCTTACATTTCATCTTCTCTCACTACTGCTAAACAAACAGGTTTTCAAGGCCTGGGTAGATAATACTGAAGAAGTCTATGGACATTCCCCATTTCCAAACTTAGAAATTTATGTCACTAGCTCCCATATTGTCTTGATTGGCATGATTATTTTTGAATATTGACTCAACTCTTTTTTTTTTCTTTTTTTTTTTTTTTAATTTAAACTCTTGCCTCAGTGTTACACAGATGGCTTTTACTTACCCCATGAGCTAGAGGTCAAAGGTAGCCCACTCACTAATTGTGGCATTCCTGCAAATGGGATAAAACAATGAACCATGCTGATTCCAGGCAGCTCAAGATATAATTCAGTCAATATCCTGACCTCATCATGAGCACTCTGGTGAACAAATGACATGAAGAGCATTCTTAAATTGAAGCTTATATGTTGACTCTATTTGGACTATTCAGCTGTCTGAACTGGATGTCAGACTAGACATAGAAAATTCACCCCCGTGGTAGTAAACTCAGGGCATACTAAACCAGAGAAACTATGTGATACACCCAGATTAATTACCACTTGAAGAGAAAATTCACAGTAATAGCATCTTCAGACACAGACCATGCTGAGGTAACCCCAGCATCATGGCCTGAGAGTGGTTGAGAGGTACAGAGGCAAAGTAATTTTTGGGTGGTGGGATTAGAGGTTCATGGTTCCCACTTACTGAGATTAGAGGTTCGCTAACAGAGCAAATTCTGTAATCATGACATCAGATCGTGACTATAGGAAAAGATTTCCATATCAAGCATAATTACTGTTAGAAAGTTACATTGATTTACTCCATTAATAGTCTTC